CCTTGTCATCCTTGTCTTCCTTGTCACCCTTATTGACTAAATCGTTGTCAGCCCCCCGAACATCAGCAGTACGAAGGACGTCTTCATCGACACCAATGATTTCATTGGGATTCATGACATCCTTGTCTTCTTTCTSTTCRTCTAATAATGGGCTACTGAGGGGAGGGATCACTTGTGGTTTGATAGCATCAATGATTTCTTTGGGTGCTGGACTGTTGACGAAAACCACGTCGTTGTCCTGTTTTTCGCTATCTGTTGAAGGTGGCGTCTTCTTCTTTTTCTTTTTCTTCTTTTTCKTCTTGCCTTTGGGTTGGTTCTTTTTGTCACCATCTTTGTCGCCTTTCTCAATATTGTCTTCTTTTTCGTTCTCGTCCTTGTTTTCTGTACCCTTATTGTCTCCTTTGTCRTGCAGGTCAAGTTCAACCTGTTTGACTACTTGTTCAGCAGGTATTGTMGCTTTTGTGTTCTTTGTCTGTTTCTTATCACCTTTTTCATTCTTTTGGTTTTTGGAAATTTTCCCTTTCAGGTCCTGTTGGGTCTCCTCTAGCYTTTTGGGAAAGTGCTTATCGATCTTATGAAGCAGTCGATTGCCATAATTCGCCTCAAAGTTGGTAGGCAAGGATGTTTCTGCCGATCCACGAAGTGCGGATACACCCACTGCTGCTTGGCCGGTTCTACTGTTCTCACCCRCATATTGGTTATGATTCGTTGAGGTGCTGGTTTTCTTGCCACCACGAAGCCTCTTCGAGGTCATTCCACGCATTTGTTGTCGTTCTCTATTAGTCGCAGCCACTGCCGACGTCGACATCGTGAAAGCAGTAAAGACCAGAAGGAGAAAGGTAGATTGAAAGGGTGCCATGGCGTGTACCAAATATTTGTAGCAGTGTATCRCGTTTTCTTGATAGGACTTGTAACGTATAGAATAAACAACGATGGCACAGGGGTATCGCTCGGTTGTGCTTCAGGGTGTTGGTTTCGGTGTTGGTGCGTCGATCCGAATACGTATTTTGTGTACAAAGCATATCGAACTTGTCGCTTTGGATTCTTTTCGGAGAGCTAGTAGCATGGCAAATTCATTGTCATGGTTTGCTGGTAGATCGACCCCTATCTTTTGGGCGACGGTCCATTTGTAGTCTTGTTTTCTATTTTCGATGAGAGCAGGAGACATGTCGACCATATGGCCTATCGCTGGAAGCTCCAAATACATTTATTATTCCCCGTCCGGTCAACTATTTTCTATCACCAAATTCCACTCGATAGTGGTGTGCACCAAAGTGTTTGGGTAGGAGGAAACCCGAGGNCATTAGTTGGATTGCGCATGCTGTGACTTTTCCAGTCTTGGATTTAGTTCATCTGGGTTCCTTTGCGATAAGTTTTTGGCGGGACACAAAGAATGAAATCTCCCCCCTCCCCCCATCAACCCCGAAACAAAAATTGACAGAAACACCTTGTCTGTCGAGAGGATAGTACAAGTACTACCRTACTGTATCGTCAAATCGTGTGAATCATGAGCATTTTGCGTATTTTTTGCCAACGTCCCCAAGTTAAAAATATCAATTTAAAAAATTATGCCAGATGCCAGGGGAGGGATAATTGTGAGTGCGATATCCTGAGATATCAGGTTAAAATCKAATCCTATTTTCTGATACAGATGAGTTACATCGAATTRAAATTGAATCTAAATAACCCTTCAAAAACGAATCACGTGCTAAAATGGATAAAGCTTAGGTAATTTGATTTCAAGTCATGCGCATGAGAATATGTATTAGAGGATTAATTATGCTACGGGTATCTAAGAGACCATGTCCCAAAGCTTCAACCAAAGTTTTGTCTGTCACAAAACTTTATCAATGAGAAGTGACAAGCCGAAAATTTTCTCAGATTCACAACTTTTCCCTGAAGTGTGGATGAGTTTATATCACGGTGAGTATGGAAACAACTCGCGGTCTGTGGTTTCAGCTAAGTCCAAAAAGAAGAACTTGTGCTCATAAATTCAATTTACGAACCAAATGATGAAGCTATACACAAACACTTTTGYCATCMTCTTGACTCTCGCCCTCCTGGGCATTTCTTCTGTTTCGGGAAACGCCGGCAGAGAAAACAATGATAGAGTTCGTGCCCTCAAGGCAAACAAAGCCAACAACTACGAGTACTATGGGGCGAAAAACACGAACAACGATTTCGAAGTTATCGATCAGAGATCTGTAAATACAAATTCAAATCATAAAGTAGGCAAGAACTCAGGCAAGAACTCAAACACAGGGAGAAATGAAGTGAACAGCGATTTCGATGTCATCAGAAGTCATGACAAAAAACACAAAGAAGGCCGTAACAAGAAGAAAGATAAACCCAAGAATAAACCACTTCCTCGGAATATGCCACCCAGCCCCACCCCAGTACCATCTACCAAGTCACCTTCRTCTCCCACACCATCTGGAAAGGGTAGAGGAAAAGGAAAAGGAGGAAAGGGCGGGAAAGGCCGCAAAGCAGGAAAGAAGGGAAAAGGTAAAGGAAAGGGCGGAAAGGGCGGAAAGGGTGCCAAGTACAGAAAACCCGATACCGCTGCTCCTATYACTGCTGCCCCCTCTGGAGCTCCTTCATTCGCGCCGTCGGACGCGCCTAGTCCGGCCACCTCAGTTTCACCATCCCTTGGGGCCGCGCCGGATACACTCATGCCAACCCCTCTAGGTTCTACAGCATCTTCCTTGGTATCTTCCGTGTTTGTGAGTTCCGAAAGCAGTTCCGAATTCACTTCCGTATCCAGTACCGAAAGCAGTAGCGACGCCGCTGCCACCAACGGAGAGGGTGTGGGTGCCGCTGCTGGTGATGGTGTTGGCCACAAGCGAAAAAACAAGCGAAAAAACACGCGAAAAAACAACCGCAATCCCAACCGTCACAAAAAGGGAAGGTGGGTTCTGGTAAAAACCAAAGACGGTGAGTGGAGACGAAAAACGAAGAATCATCGCAAGCGAAATGAAAACAAWGGTGTCACTGTCAGCRAAAACGAAAACGAAGAGCTCGGAGACGAAGAAGTTTCCATCTTCCAAGACGAAGGTGAAGACAATGAAGAAGAGGAAGTCGATGAAGTGGAAGTCGAAGAAGAAGAAGTAGAAGAAGAAGTGGAAGAGGAAATGGAAGAGGTGGAAGATGAAGGCGAAGAAGCTCCTCTTCAACTGTAAGCGTAACATTTACGAAAACMATGTCGATATTCTTGAGTCGGCAAGAATGGCTAGTTCCCCTACAGATCTATTATCAAACACGCATGATGAGCACAAAAAGTTCATCGGCACTTTCGTCGCCACCTTTGAAAACGAAAGATATATTTATTTATTATACATCACACAAAAAACAATGGTCATCGTTTTCATGTTCCTTCGGATGGATCACTATCTAAACAACAATRAATCGATCATCAGWGGAAAAGGGAAAAARAAAAACTAATAAAAAAAACTTGTAAATTGGATTATTTAATACGATTGGTACCGTACTTCGAAGTGTTGTCTCTCTCCAACTCAGTATTGCTAAAAACCAATTTGAGTACAATGTAGTATGAAGGAAATGATTATGGCAGTACCTGGTGCTTGCCGATCCGCCATTTGTTCCCTGCTAATATGTATTCGTACATGATATATGTCGCTGCCGTCTCGAACGCCTTTAACCACAAAGCGTGGTGTTGGCAACACGTYGTCTTCGCTTCTCTTCTCCCAACAGTTATGTTGTTTGAGATACTTTGTCGAAACAGGTAGGGACACAGGTAGGGGCACACTTCATCTCTGGCATGCAATAAACGCCAAATAGGTGTGGTTCCTCTTCTTGCTGGTGCTCCAAAGGCGACAGTRACTGACCGCTCTGCGAAGGGTGGCGATGACTACACTTGGAAACACTAGACTTAATTCCGATGGGTGATATTGTCTTGGATAGCTGCATCAATGTTCTGGGTTTCGTTTTGTTCACGAGGCAAGCCTTCAGTGCCGCAAAGGGCTCCACGACATTGCAATTTGGTTGTCCARACGCAAGAAAAGACGATTCTGCCTGTCACGTCGTTGCCCCCGGTTCATCCCTCGACTCTTCCATCTTTTAAAGAGCGGGACGAATCTCAGATGAAATCGATGGGATTTTKGTTGTTGTTGAATTGAGCACTGCTATCAATCCAAATCTGGTTGACGTTGACGGCAATGACRAAGGGGCTCGTCGGATGATTTCGACAGCATCAAGGACTGGATCGTGTTCTGCCGTCACAGAAGCATCCTTTTAATTCAGGAGTTCCATACCTCCCGGGAAGTCAATACCAGTGGCTGGATCGTCTTCACTAGCATCACATTGTTATCGCCATCTTTCTTCGTTCGCGAGGCGGAATCCACCAACGACAGAGTCGTTGTGATTTCATCCGAATAGGTGACTCCGAACCGGTCTCCTTCCGCCTTTTGTTCTTAAYGTCCACTCCCRCTTCTTGTGAACCGCAACGATAAAAGATCAAGCACATTAGCAAGGCTAGGTGTCACGAGCCGTGTTGCCGTCGTTATCTGAAGCGTTTCAATTCCGCGCCCATCACTGTATTGATGAATTTTGAATTTTGCATTTTTGTGACCAAAAGATTKCAGTAGTTTGTGTTTGGGTTTAGAACGTATGGAACGTACATAGATGCAATAGGTGTTACATACAGTAGTGATTACGTATTGTGCACTGTACGATAAAACTAAGTAACTTACGGTAGGCCTACCGGTACATGCAGTCGCTAGGATTCATTGTCAGTCCGGCAACCGGCAATACGAGTTTGTAGCAGTACGTATGTACGTATGGTACGATACATACTGTACTGTCTCTGTCTCATTCCGTCAGTCACGATCTATCATACGTGCCAGTACATACTGTACGGCCGTACGGTACTGCACTGTTACGTACGAGAACTGTACTCGTACCGTAAGTGGTATTGGATGCTTTAACCTCCAGATAGTACGAACTTTGCCCTATGGTAGCAGTCAATCCTTCGCTCTCCCCGATCAGTCAGATTATTTTCAGYAAACGAACAAACCGAGAAAGAATACGATGTATTCACGGATGGCCATGTCCAGGACCAAATGGATTTCCAATCCTACCATCCGAGAGAAGAATTTSTGGTCTTTCCTTCCGACTCTCCTTGCACTGGCAATTTTGTTCTCTGCTTTCGGGCAGGCTGCCGCACAAGGCAACAATGCCACGAACGACGATGTTTACAGCGTCGACGACGACGGTATTCTCGACAGCAATGCCACTACCGTCATTCCGGGATCGATCGTGGCACGACCCGCCACCGCTGTGACAGTGGCCGATGCCGTCTTGTTCCCATGGTTCGTCCAGTTTCTTGGGTGTCTGACGGTATTTGTCCTCTCCAGGTTCAACCTTCCCGTCCCCTTTGCGGCCGTGATGTTCATCTTCGGCGCGCTGATGGGGTACGGGGCTGTGACCRACCAGGCGCTGGAGGATCCCACGAACGACGTGCGRAAAGCCCTTCTGGATTCGATTACCCTGTGGATCAACATAGACTCGGCAACACTTCTGTTAATATTTCTACCCGGTTTGATCTTCAAGGATGCCGTGGACATYCCGATAAATTTGTTCGTAGTGGCGGCAGGTGAGTTCTTTAAACATAAACAAAAGAAWGAAAACGATGACAAKATAAATCCGCTTTGGCCATAAAAAACTTTTTGGGCACTACTATGCCGTGATGTAGAAGATTATATCATACAGTGAATTCTTGAAAAAACATTTGCATCGTTTTGGCTAAAATTGTTCTTCTTTCTTCTATTTCGTCTCTTACGCGTATTCTGCACACACAAACAATAGTCCAGATCTGGATCTTAGCCTTTCCCATGGTATTGGTTGGAACAATCCTGACCGGTGTGGTGGGAAAATATTGCCTTCCTTATGAGTCAGCAGATCCAGATTCCTTTGGCTGGTGGGCCTGGGTTGTGCTGGGTGCTATTTTGGCATCAACGGATCCCATCGCTGTGGCTAGTGTTCTCAAAACAGCGGGTGCCTCCCCCCGACTGGTCATGCACATTTCCGGAGAATCCCTCATGAATGACGGATCCTCCTATGTGTTCTTCCAGATTGCTGTCCAGCTGTGGTACGCATCCGTGGGGTTRCCGGTGCAGCAAGAGCTCGGAACATGGACGGCGGGCTTCACATACTTCTTTCGCATGTCCCTTGGGGGAACTGTGGTGGGRACGGTCTTYGGGTTTGGCCTATTGGGGGTCCTGTGGGAACTGGATAGACGGATGGAACGAGAATTCGACATAATCCAGGTCGTGTTTGGTTTGACAACGGCCTACTTGTGCTATTTCGTCTGTGATCAGATCATTACTATGTCGGGGGTAATATCTACTGTGGCTTGTGGTTTGGTTGTGAACCAGTTTGGTAGAGGACTGATTCACGACAAGGACATGATGTCCTCGTATTTAGCCTTGGTGAGTTTTCTCTGAAAGGACCAGGACCAAATTTGTGGGTGTTTCGTAAACAACAACAACTACGACAACAAAAATAATTTTCTTGCTCTCCATCTCTCTGATTCTAACAATACCTTTCCATGTGTGCTTCGCATCAGGCCGACTTTTTGCTTAATACTCTTTTGTTCGCGCTGGGAGGTGTAATTTGGGCGGCAATTAGCTTTTCGAATCAACAAAGTGCGGCAGTTCAACCAATAGACTGGGCGTACCTGATAGTGTTCTATATCCTYTGTATGGTTATCCGGTTCGTTCAAGTTGGAATGTTTTATCCAATTCTATCTCGTATCGGTCTCAAATCAAATTGGAAAGAAGGCGTCTTCCTGGCATACGGTGGTCTGCACGGATCGGTGGGAGTTGCCCTTGGCCTGTCGCTGATACAATACGTATTCCAGAAAACAGAAGACGAAAGCATCCGAAAGGCAGCTACAATATTGCAATTTTTGGGCGGCGGAGCCACGCTTTTGACTCTCACCATCAATGGTACAAGCGCAGGTGCTATTTTGAAAATATTGGGATTGGTAAAGCCTCCCGTTTCGGCCGAGCACGTCAAACACGTGTTCGAGGGAGCCGCGAAAGATTTCGTGTACACTGAAATGAGTAAATTGTTCCAAGAAAAGCGCTTTCAGAAGGTAGACTTCGATATATTGAAGGACAATGTCTTGTTTGTGAACAAAGAGCCTCCTAAATTACATATAGAGGGTCCCGAGGTAGAAAACACTCACCATGAAGAGACCGTYCGAGAATTCCATCGTCGGGTGGTAAAAGGTGGCAAACCKTATATCTCGCTGCTGAATGCAACCAAACGAGCTACTGAACGGCACTTTATCGATCCCACCGAAAGCGAAGAATACAAGTCTGAACTTTTAGTAGAAATGAGGCAGATATTTCTCCAGCTCCTACAGGAAGCYTACAAAGTAGAAGAAGAAATGGGGGAATTGGATCAGAAGCAAGACAACGGATATCTGTTTGACGTTTTGCTTCAGAGCGCGGACTTGGCCATCAACGAAGTTATATACGACAAAAAGCCCATCGAAGACTGGAAGCACACCGAAATATTCTTTCGTTGGGATACGATGAAGAAGGCAGAACGTCCGTCTTCGGAGAGGACTTCATCAGTGGGGTCTAGAATTCAGCCTAGAGCGCTAGGAGAGGAGTTACCCTCGATGAATTCCGAGGCAGTGGTAGCAGACACCATTGTTTCAAAACCAAGTGTATCCCAGGCCTCCTTTGCATCTTCGCTCAAGTCGATTGTTTCGTTKGATGGAAGCGATTCTACGACACGAAAGAAGACTCACATGGTCGACGTGAAGAGAATACGATTGGATGTTCTCCGAGCGCTTGCATTCATTCACGCCCACAAAATGGCAGAGGCCAAGTTACGACTCTACGTGGATCGCTTTGATGAAGATTTGGATGAGAGCTTGCAGGCGAGGCACAGTGTGACAGACAATGCATTGGAGATYGTTTTAGCTGAGTCTCACAAACAAGTGTGCTTTGCTCATGAGAAGCTTGATAAAGAAGTGAGTGACAAGGACCTAGACATTGTCCTTTCGTATCTTTGTGCCCAGATTCTCCTTCGAAGACTCCTTAAGTTTACGGAAGAAAAGTCCGAGGAAGGAATGATTGGTAAGCAAGAGACTCGGGCATATACGCGRAGGATGAAAGACTGCTTGGATGAAAGCGATGCCGATGCTATCCAACAACTTACGGAATTGAGATTGAATGACGATACAAGAGATGATTGTAAGCGCGGTCCATCTAGCATATTACGAAGCATTGTGGAAGATAGCGATGATGCGAGCGCAGCCTTCGATGACAACAATCACCAACTTCCTGTTCGCCATCGCCTCTTGAGCTATTACAAAAGATAGGGCAACACTCCTTGCTTTCTCGTGGATTATCCGATGAATCCATGYGATTGGTGGCATCAATTGCACGAGCGATGAAACTAAATATAATGATTGGACAAAACTATCAACCGAATATGCGTGAAGAGCRTTTTTATGTATTCYGACTTTCATWCTGTATGAACTTGGAAGCAATAACTGGAATACATCTATTCCAYAGCAGCAGTAATGATGTTCCAATAACAACAAGCTAGTCGTAGCAGTACTGCTACTATTAGTACTTCTCATAACTATTCTTGGCTGCTGCTGTTATTGATGCTTGGGAATATTTTGTAGTCTTGATGTCCCATCCATCACCAACAAAAGTAGACCTAGATTAATCAAAATTACTAGCTATGGTGGGTGGTATAATAGGAGGAGCAGGTTGCAGTGATAGTAAGAGTCAATCAAAAAAAAAAAAAAAAAAAAAAAAAAAAATTTGGAAGTCAAATCTTTCAAAGAAGGCACAACAATGACAAGTTTCAGTACATCTCTTGTCAGTACAAGTGAGAAAAGCTACCAAAATACTACTAGCGATGTACTGCACCCAATGAAATCCTACAAGAACTGTACCAGAATTATTTTGTAGTAAGAGAAATGGTATTTAAACAAACCTGGCTGAGGAAACACTGTGGCAGGCACCATTGTGCGCCAGAGCTTCACTGACATGTATGTACAAAAATGACAAAAACGATTATCTGACAATCTCATAAAATTGTACAACAACACAAATCAAAACTATTACAACTRCTAAAGTAAAACAACWAAATGGGGTGGGTAAGAAGGGTTAGGCTTGCTGTGTTGACARTCTACAATGACTAAGTTAAACACTCCAGTTGCCTGATTCTGTTTCACTTTAAATTGTGTATGGGCTAGTACATTCTTCATCAKACAAGCATCAAAAGCAATGCCCACAATKGTCACTCAGACAATCAAACTGGATGGACAGCAACAGGATACAGTGGTTGTGGCAGTCAGTAGTGCCAGAGTGGGTTGGTGTGAGACTTTACTGAAACAGACACTACTAGTAGTGAACTACATAAAGAAAATATTTTTCAAGCACACCAAGTTCCTGGTTCTGGATAACATCATGGAATGCATCAATAAAAAAGAGGTCAAAGATATTTTGGAGTGAACAGCACAGGTTTCAGAAAGCTTGGTGACCTCTGTAACAAGAAGAGGGGGAACAGTGAACAGGGTGATCACTGCCTGCAGACACAACTCTCAGACTTTGGCAAGGAAAAATTACAAGGGTAAGTAGGAGAAAAGACAGTGGGGGTGTGGAGGTTCATGCAAGTGAGCATGTTTGTATCTGACTTCCATCAATCTCTGCTTGGTGTTAAGTATCCTCATATAGAAGTGGCTACCAAATGTATGACGATACAGTTGTAGATTTTGGGCCCATATTTTTTGCATAATGACAACTAATTGACTAAAACCCACACACCTATCACATAATGCTTGTGCTTGGTAGTACTTGCTGAATTTTTTAATTTCACAGTTTCTTGACCAAATAGTTTTGCACACATGTGCTTTTTGCTTCAACACATGCTATTGCTGTATCAGTAATACAAGTCAAATCTTTAATCCCACAAGTCATTACACAGTAAAATGATGGCCCAAATCCACACACACAGTACATACTAAACATGTAGAAAGTTAGATAAGTGTCAACTCACTTTGGTCCCCAACAGACACTTACTAAGCATGGTTGGCACATGAATCAAAAGCAAATTTAAACAGGATTCTAGTAGTCATATGGGGGAGTTGGAGGGTTGTAAAGATATTGATTGATATATTTGTATATATATATATACGATTGCTAATATATGACTGAATCATCTTTTTTTAGTAGCCAACACTATACAAGAATAGAYGGCAATAGTAGACAAAAAATACTCCAGAATTCAAGTACTTTCTAACAAGAATCTTAGGSACAGTGTCATCTAAACAAACTGAGTTCAGGCAGAAGTAACACAACAAGAATACACTGAGCACAATATTCAGCCCAACAGACAAAGCATTTGCACTCCTACTATTCTGTTCAACAACTAGTACAAATCATGGAATAATTTGGGCAGTGGAAAGAAAACCCCAAAACAATTCACAGACAGTATAGTTGGAAGCAAAGAAAGCTGGAACTTCCAAGGACTTATGCTGTTCATGAGGTCCTTCAAGGAAGTACTAAAGACGCATTGAGCCAAAGATAGTTCAACAACAATCAAACTTGCAAGGATAAAGAGAAGACAAAAAGATGTTTGAMTAGACAAAATAGTGGGATCCCAAATCTCTTTGAAGACCTTAAAATAATGATGGGCATATAAGTACAAAAAATCTTAATATTATATGATTTAGCCTCGTCTTGAACTACTACTAGTAGTAGAGGCACTATATGACCAGAACCAAAACTTTTGGTGTAAAGTATGTTACTACTAGTTGCACCGAGGGGTGGCGCTTCCCTCAAAGGAGTGTTAGTGGAAGCGGGAACAAAATGGGCATATAAGCACAGCAGTACTAGCAGTAACAAAATCTTTACAATAATCATGATGCTTCTTGTCAGTTTGGTTAGTTTTCTTGTTGTCATTGGAAGGGGAAAAGCTGATGAAAAAATTGACCCCAAGAATGGGTATTGAACTTCTTGTGCTGATAATCATGTGGTGTGAGAAAATGTTCCACATCAGATAAGTGCCCAGAGTTTTGTGTTCATGCACCAGTCAGTGCAAAAAATGGAGTTGCGGGTGGTGTCTAAAAAATAGGAAGAAGGGTATCCTCAACTGCCACTACTAGTACTAACATTTGGAATTTTACTAATTTATGTTAAATTCAAGCAACACCTCAGTAGTATTCATTTCTGCACAGGCCTGAGAAATTGTTAAGAATGTCCTGAATGTTACTACTACAAGGAATATCATAATACTAGTGGTGGTAACAACAAGTGATCACCGCACTATAAAATGGTTCCCATCTTAGTAGTAGTAGTAGTAGTAGTAGTAGTAGTAGTAGTAGTAGTAGTAGTAGTAGTAGTTGCATTTGTAGTACTAGTAGTAGTTGCAGTTGTAGTTGTAGTTGTAGTTGCAGTTGTAGTTGCAGTTGTAGTTGTAGTTGCAGTTGAAGTTGCAGTTGTAGTTGCAGTTGCAGTTGTAGTTGCAGTTGGAGTTGGAGTTGGAGTTGGAGTTGGAGTTGGAGTTGGAGTTGGAGTTGGAGTTGGAGTTGTAGTTGTAGTTGTAGTTGTAGTTGTAGTTGTAGTTGTAGTTGTAGTTGTAGTTGTAGTTGTAGTTGTAGTTGTAGT